CTTTAAAATATTGTTTGCAAAAATTTTTAATTATTAAGGAGCATTGCGCTTACCCTGTATAATTAAGGTTATTTACAAAACAAATATTTTGTAAACCAGCTAAATTTCTAAACAATTTTACCGATAAAAGAAATGACTTAATATGCAAAATTGTTGATCACACTGTAATAAAGCTTTTTGCATCAAAACCTTTGTTCAATTTATTTATTTTACCTTTGTAAAATATTTTGATTCGGTTTAAATCTAATTGTGTACAGTACTGTCGGTTCAGAACTGTATTCAATTAAAAATCAGTATTTTTTACTGTTCTTAATTTCTATCAAAAGCAAGTTCTCACTTTTGAATTGTACCTATATTTTAGGTTACTTTTACAGCAACTTCTAATTTACAACACTATAGTTTAAGTAAGAGAGTGTCCACCTTTGTGAAACACTTCTATTAAACAGAGCTTGTAAAAACAGATTGACTGCAATAAAGTTAAACCTGTTTGTATAGGATTTTTGTAGAAATAAACCCTTTTTAAATTGAAATGGTTTTATAAAAATGCATTTATTTTTAAGCTTTATTTTATTTTGAATAAACAGAGTTGATTTAACTGTGTTTTATTCGATTTTGGCTGAAAAATTGTGAAAAAATGTGTTCTTCTGGTGAAAATGGCTATTTTGAGTGTAATACCTTAAATCAACCAGCAGATGTCGCCGTTGCAAAGGAAGACAACTCAGCCTTCAACACCTTTGATTGACAGCAGCACCGTGTGCCCTGTCCAATGACGGAGCGTCTAACAGGAAATCCCGCCTTCAAAGCGCTCCTTCAGAATAAAAACGGCAGTCCATTTTTACAGTGCAAAAGTCAACAAATGAAACAAATGAAACACTTTTGACACTAAATCACCGTATTTAAACTAGAGTTTACAACACAGCGTTTCGAAAATCGACAAGCGTAAGCTTCTCACTACGCAAGCGATAAACACAGCTCCTCTTAAGCTGACGGGTTGGACCGGAACTTCCGGTTTAACCCAAAACTCCGTCCGTCTTAGCGGCTCGGAGTTTAAACTGCTCGAAAACGGCGTTTAAACTCACCCAAAATTCTCTGACGCGGTTCAAACGACAGATCGCAGTTTAATCGGTCGCTCAAGGCGCCGAAACGGCTTTTTTCGCCGTATATCGAGACGTACCGTTCGGTTTATTCGTCCCGGAAGTGGTTGGAGCTAACTTTGTTAGCCTGTGTTACACTTAAAACTCCCCCCGTATCTCGTTTAACACTTTACGAGTGCCCAAAATTCATAAATGTTAGAGGAATTATTGGTATAAGATCAAAACTGCATTCACAGGTTAGATCTTAAAGATAAAATAGCATTTCGCTATTTTTTAGAGCGGAGTTTATATTCCCTTTCAGGAAGTGACGTCATTACCTTTTTAAGCCGTGAAATGCTTACTTTTACGCGGCATGTAATGTTAAAAGCCTTATTACGACTCAAAATGACAGAATAACAACAAAATCTGCAGCTTTTGCTATAATCTGAACACCTCCAGTCATAAAAGTCTTATAGCATCATTTAACTTCTTGCCAACATAAGAAAGTATTTTTTTTACTTTCAAAATGCACAGAAATATTTTTTCATGAGAAAAATATGTAAATAGAGTTCACCATTCAGAATAGGACTCGTACGATGCCACCATTATGAATAGAGAACCGTACGGGCCACCATTATGTAAGGGATGGCTTACTTATGCAAATAAGCTCACCTTACATCTTCCCATAACTGAGTTATGAGAGAAAATTTTACCAAGGTTTTCCTCATTACTTTAATATTTGTCTGTGCAAAGTGAAGTGACACAATGAGGGAACGTCAAACGAGTTCAAGTTGATTCATAAAAGATTATGCAATCATTTATTTACACAATTGAACAAATCATAAATTACACCTGATTGTGAGTTTCCTACTAAGAGTCTAAGTAAATGAGATAAAAACCCGCATCTGAATTTCTTTCAAATTAACTCAGATTACTTATATAGACAGTAAAACGTCAGTTCTGATGTTAAAACTAAACAATTTACTGGCACTTCACTTAGAGTTGGCAAGGATAAAGGGTAAGAAAAGGTAAGAAATTTAAGGATTAGTGTTTCTGCTTTTAATTTTGAAAAGTTTTCAACCGGATTAGCACTTCCTCTCTGCTCTCAGCTTCAACTTGACACGTCACCCACGAACACGTCAGCGTTACCTGGGATGTCTTCTTAAGAACCCCTGATATGGCTGTCTCACCGACGACCCTTCAGGAAGCTTGTCCAGAACTGGTCCTTGGCGAAAAGGTGTCGTTTAGGTGACTTTTCGTCTGTTTCAGCCCAGCTAGAAAGATTCCAGCTGTGGTTCCGGTCGTCTCTCAAAATAAGTCTCCCCTCGGGAGTTGAAAAACACTTAAGAGACTGGGGTCTCTAGGTGGGCATAGGGCGGCTTGCCCCTTGCCCTGGACTTCAGGTCCCCCTATTTGGCTGGATGGGTGAAACCCGAGGCCCAGCTGTTTCTCCGGAGAGAATCAGCCCGTCCTCCTGTGTCGGCATCAGGAAGAAGACTCTACCCGTCTCTAAGGCATCCGTGTGTTAGTAAGCCAGAGTGGAGCCTTAGATAAGCCCTCAGTCAGAAAGGAAAAGAAGAGATAATAGAGTTGCCAGTGAAGGCCATTGCTCTGTAGCTGTTTCAAACAGACATAATAATATATTCTCTGCTTCTTTTTCAGCTAGACTGTAAGAAATCACTGTGAAACATTTATGATGATTAATTAACACTCAGTCTGAACTTGGGTCCAGATAAATGTAAGATTTTCTTAAGAAAAACTCAAATTATATTACTGATGTTTCCAGTAAAATAAAAACAGTGATTTATAAAAACACAATGAAAACATGGTGATGATTTTCTGTGATTTTATAGCATTCATTAATCTATTTTAGGCACGATAAAAGAATAGAAGTGATTCTTTCTTTCTTTGTGACATGTCATTATTGTGATTAACAGATGCATAAACATTCTTAGTTAAACAACCACTGAATCATGAACAGAACAGATTGTTTCTGTTAATATCTGATTAGAGAACTGAAGTCCTCGCGTAGGTTGAAATGACCCATCATGGCCTAAAATAGAGTTCAGTGTTCTAGCCTTCTTTCAGGCCTGTGCGAGACCTGCTTTGAGGCAGTAACTCCTGTTACTTCACTCGAGGTGACCCCTACACAATCAAAGGATACATAACAAAGTATTGATATTAACCTTTGTTATTGACCAAATGCTTATTTTCCACCATAATTTGCAAATAAATTCTTTAAAAAATCAGACAAAGTAAATTTCCTGTTGCATTTTAGGTGCTACATGAGAATTTTCATGCTTATTGTAGTTGCACTTTTGAAGGAGATTGTTTTTAAAGGTTTAGAATCCATCCATCCATCCATTTTCTTCCGCCTATCCGGGGTCGGGTCGCGGGGGCAGCAGCTTCAGAAGGGAGGCCCAGACCTCCCTCTCCCCNCCCCCCCCCCGCACTGAAATGGATGGGACAGAAGCGGAAGGTGGTTCTTAAAGAGACAGAGGACAGTTTCAAGGAATTTAGAAGAGGACATGATGAGAAGATAAGTTTATTTGCTATGTAAACATAAAACCAGTATTTTAATAAACACTAAGGTGACATAGATACTTTATTAAGGTATAAAGTATAGTATAGTATAGTATTTAAATATATGCCTGAGAAACACAAAATATTGGCCCTTTAAGTGTCTGGATGTTGTGGGGTTGCGTTGGTTGATATGACCCTACAGTATTGCATGGACATCGGGGCAGTTCCTCTGGATTGGCAGACCGGGGTGGTGGTCCTCCTATTTAAAAGGGGGGACCACAGAGTGCGTTCCAACTATAGGGGGATCACACTTCTGAGCCTCCCTGGTAAAGTCTATTCAAGGGTCCTGTGGAGGAGGGTCCATCAGATAGTCAAAGCTCAGATTGAGGAAGAGCAGTGCGGTTTTCATCCTGTTCGTGGAACAGTGGACCAGCTCTACACCCTCAGCAGGGTCCTGGAGGGTGCATGGGAGTTCGCCCAACCAGTCTACATGTGGGTACTCTGGGAGTATGGGGTACCAGGCCCGTTGATATGGGCTGTTAGGTCCCTGTACGACCGGTGCCAGAGCTTCGTCCACATTGCTGGTAGTAAGTCGGACTTGTTTCCTGTGAGAGTTGGACTCCACCAAGGTTGCCCTTTGTCACTGATTCTGTTCATTACTTTCATGGACAGAATTTCTAGGAGCAGCCGAGGTGTTGAGGGGATCCTTTTTGGTGACTTTAGGATCAAATCTCTGCTTTTTGTGGATGATGTGGTCCTATTGGCCTCATCAGATCCTGATCTCCAGCTCTCACTGGAGCGGTTCACAGCTGAGTGTGAAGCGACCGGGATGAGGATCAGTGCCTCCAAATCCAAGACCATAGTCTTGAGGCAGAAAAGGGTAGGGTGCCTTCTCCAGGTCGGGGAGGAGGTCCTGCCCCAAGTGGAGGAGTTTAAGTATCTCAGGGTCTTGTTCATGAATGAGGGAAGAATGGAGCAGGAGATCGACAGGTGGATTGGTGCTGAGTCTGCAGTGATGTGGGAGTTGTACCGGTCTGTCGTGGTGAAGAGAGAGCTGAGCCAGAAGGTGAAGCTCTCAGTTTACCAGTCGGTCTACGTTCCTACCCTCATATATGGTCAGGAGCTTTGGGTAGTGACTGAAAGAAGGAGATCACAGATACAAGCAGCTGAAATGAGTTTCCTCTGCAGGGTGTCTGGGCTCTCCCTTAGAGATAGGGTGAGAAGCTCAGTCATCCAGGAGGGACTCAGAGTAGAGCTGCTGCTCCTCCACGTCCAGAGGAGCCAGTTGAGGTGGTTCATCTTGTTAGGATGCCTCCTGAACTCCTCCCTGCTAAGGTGTTCTGGACACGTCCCACTGGTTGAAGGCCCAGAGGAAGACCCAGGACACACTGGAGGGACTATGTTTCTCAGCTGGCCTGGGAACGCCTTGGGATTCCCCCAGAGGAGCTGGTCCAAGTGGCTGGAGAGAGGGAAGTCTGGGTCTCTCTGCTCAGGCTACTGCCCCCGAGACCTGACCCAGGATAAGAGGAAGAAGATGGATGGATGGTGGCTTTAAATCAATAAAATACTGTATCTTACAGTACATAGCCATGACTAAATCAATCATTTAATCTTGTGTACTTTAGGTCTGATTTAAAAAAATACAATTATTACATGTATTCTTAATTATTTTCTGAGACTGTGAGATGTTTCTTATTGATGTTTCAGTGTCTGAGCTGAGGATCATTCTGCTGGGAAACAACTGGTCTGACAAATGTTCAGTTGCAAACTTGATTCTGGGAAATTCTGCCTTCAACCCTCAGCAGGAACCCAGCTCCTCTAAGACAGCCAACAGATTTATCGGAATGACAAAWGTAGTTTGCATCAACACACCGTCAGATCTGCTCCATGCTSAKGTTCCTCCAAACAAGCTCCAAAAACATGTGGAGTACTTTGTGAGTCTGTCAGATCCTGGACCTGAGGTGTTCCTGGTGGTTGTGCAGCCTGATGTCTTCACTGAGGACAACAAGCAGAAACTCTGCTCAGTCCTCGAACTGTTCAGAGCCCGCTCCTTTGACCGGACACTGGTTCTGACTCTAACACCCAAACAGAATACAACAAGTTTCTGCAAACCTTTACAAGACCTGATCAAAAGGTGCAGACATCAGATTTTCAGTTTGAAGACCCAAGATCCTTCTGAGCTGCGGAAGAGTTTGAAGGAAATCGTAGAGACGAACACGGACAGACCTGTGACCTCTGACCACCCACACAGCCGAGTCAGAAAAGAACTTCTTGACCCTCCAGGATCTGCCCCAAATGTTGGTGAGTTCAGAACATTTTTACTTTGATAACTGTGAAAAACATTCAAACTGATTTAAAATGAAAGAAATTACATTTTGGAAATGAAGAAGCAAAAAATTAGTTATTAAAGCTACACTACCAAAAATCTGAAAGGAGGAATACGTGTTATGACTGACGAACAAGCAACAATTCTGGTTGAGATCTCTTTTGCTTGCAGCAAGGAATTCATATACAGACAAAGTATAATACATATGATGTCCGCAGTATCACCTAACTATCTGTACAGTTCTCCCCAGGCATTATCTCCAGTTGCTTTGTCCAGATCCACCTGTCTAATTGCAGGTTATAAAAGTAACTGAACTCTATAATCTAACAGTTTAGGAAGTCAAAGATCAACTGCTGTGTCTTCATTCTAAGAGCAATAGTGAAAACAAGCAATTAAAGGCTGCAGCATGCTGCATCCAAACTGCTGAAATTGTGCCAAACTGTCACAGTTTCATGACAAAAATGTGTCATTCTATTTGCATTGTCTACATTTTGGCACCTTCTTGTTGCAACCCACGGGTCAAACTTTTTATCCACCTCCACATAAAAACACATGAGGACTTTATTGTGTGATTGATTCATGGGAGTGTGTTTGTGCTGAAAGTGATCAGACACTGCATTTTGCTTCAATCCCTCACTACAAAAAACAAACTACCAAACAAACATAAAACAAACATAAAACCGATTCATCTCTAGAAGCCGATTGTTGTACCAGGAAGCAGATATTTATAAAGATAGTCAAACTGCCAAAACATCATGAAAGGAAATAAAACATACATTTTGCATGATGGAATCTAACTGATAACAACTTTGGAGCTTAATCCGGGACCAGTTTGTGGACAAATAATGTCGGATGAATGGTCTCGGTCTTTTCCCCCCGCATTTTAGACTCCAGTGGGAAAAAATCCAATGCAGTGATATTTGCTGCAGCGGGAGGGGTTTCCCAGGAGCTCGGCGTGGCGTGTCTCAGGCGCTATGAAAGGTGTGCAAAAAAGAATGCCAAACAACCACATGACGGTGCTTCTTAACTGTCCGTCCGTCCGTTTTCTGCCGCTTATCTGGAATCGGATCGCGGGGGCAGCAACCTAAGCAGAGAGACCCAGACTTCCCTCTCCCCAGCCACTTGGACCAGCTCCTCTGGGGGAATCCCAAGGTGTTCCCAGACCAGCTGAGAAACATAGTCCCTCCAGCGTGTCCTGGGTCTTCCTCGGGGCCTCCTCCCGGTGGGACGTGTCCAGAACACCTCACCAGGGAGGCGTCCAGGAGGCATCCTAACCAGATGAACCACCTCAACTGGCTCCTCTCGACGTGGAGGAGCAGCGGCTCTACTCTGAGTCCCTCCTGGATGACTGAGCTTCTCACCCTATCTCTAAGGGTATAATATTCTAAAGGTTAATATTCTAAAGGTTTAGAATATTGTGCCAATTTGCCAAAACAATGTATTTGTTAAACAAACATATATTTAATCAAAAATACCATACAAATAAACAATTAGGAGGCCACAACATTTTGTTGATTGCTCTGCTCCTTGAGTCTGAGTGGGCCATTTCCATGCCTCCATTGTCGAAGCAGCTTAACTGAGCTGAGGCCGTAAGGTTGTCGGTGCCCGTCATGGCGGCAGCCCTCGAACCCCCTGACGGACACCGGCGGTGAGGGATGCTGTCAGGCTGGAGGAAGAAGGAGGTTTATTCAGTCATGGCTATGTAATGTAAGAAATTTTATTGACATCCATCCATCCATCCATCCATCCATCCATCCATCCATCCATCCATCCCCTTTTGGCCTGTGGGACTCCGGAAACAGCTGATAGGTATCGGCAGTCCAAGTGGATTGCAGCTCGGATGGTTTCTGAAATAAAAACTTGGGTGTGGTATGAGTTCAGAGATATCAGGTTTTAAAAGCAGGATCAGACGTATAATGCAGGCAGGCAGGCAGGCAGGCAGGCACGGTCAGATATAAAGGTTTATTAAAGAAAAACAGCAAACCAAAACCAAAAATACAATATTAGGAGCACACAAAGAAGAGCCAGGATGAAAACCAAACAATGACCAGACGCTGAAGTGGTGAAGAAAGACTGGTTAAATACAGGACTGGGTAGAGTGAAAGTAGAAAGAGCTGAGTGATTACAAAGTGTGGACAGGTGTGAGAGAAAAGATCTAAAGGGAACTGGAAGACTGAGGACTGAGATGAAAGAAAAAGACAGAAGGGACACCAGAGTGAGGCAGAGTATAAGATACAAAATTGACACAAGACAGATCCTCTCAGTAGAGGTCATGGAAAAAGATTTCCCTATGGCTTCGAGGCGATTCTGGTCCACCATACAGTGTCTCGGAGGGGGCGGTGGTTCCCCAACAATACTATTTATGGTGGGGATGGTGCGCTGCTGACCTCAACTCAGGACGTTGTGGGTCGGTGGGCAGAATACTTCAAAGACCTCCTCAATCCCACCGACACGTCTTCCCATGAGGAAGCAGAGCCTGAGGACCCTGGGTTGGACACTCTAATCTCTGGTGCCGAGGTCACTGAGGTGGTTAAAAAGCTCGGTGGCAGGGCGCCGGGGTGGACGAGATTCATCTGGAGTTCCTTAAAGGGGAAATATCATGTAAAATCAACTTTTTTGAGTTTTATATCATGTTATAATGTCATACTCTCATAAAAAACATGCCCAAAGCCTTGCTCTGACTCATTCATGCATGTTTGAGAAATCCTGCAGCGTTTTTAGGCAGCCATGCTAAGGAGCAAAATGACAGGTGGGGACCAGAAATGCTTCTGGGATGTGTCTTAAAGTCGAACTTCTTCATGGCAGAGCGCCACCCCCCCTCCCCACACACCCCGCCCATGACTCCTGCAGGCTCTCGGGTGAAACTGAAACTGTCTGCCGAGCTCCTACCACTTCTCACTCAGTGAAGCTCTTTTCAGAATAGAAATGCCTTTGAGGAAATGTATTTTCAGATGCCAAGTAAACTGCATCATAGCGCGACCCCCCCCCCCCCCCCCGCACTGAAATGGATGGGACAGAAGCGGAAGGTGGTTCTTAAAGAGACAGAGGACAGTTTCAAGGAATTTAGAAGAGGACATGATGAGAAGATAAGTTTATTTGCTATGTAAACATAAAACCAGTATTTTAATAAACACTAAGGTGACATAGATACTTTATTAAGGTATAAAGTATAGTATAGTATAGTATTTAAATATATGCCTGAGAAACACAAAATATTGGCCCTTTAAGTGTCTGGATGTTGTGGGGTTGCGTTGGTTGATATGACCCTACAGTATTGCATGGACATCGGGGCAGTTCCTCTGGATTGGCAGACCGGGGTGGTGGTCCTCCTATTTAAAAGGGGGGACCACAGAGTGCGTTCCAACTATAGGGGGATCACACTTCTGAGCCTCCCTGGTAAAGTCTATTCAAGGGTCCTGTGGAGGAGGGTCCATCAGATAGTCAAAGCTCAGATTGAGGAAGAGCAGTGCGGTTTTCATCCTGTTCGTGGAACAGTGGACCAGCTCTACACCCTCAGCAGGGTCCTGGAGGGTGCATGGGAGTTCGCCCAACCAGTCTACATGTGGGTACTCTGGGAGTATGGGGTACCAGGCCCGTTGATATGGGCTGTTAGGTCCCTGTACGACCGGTGCCAGAGCTTCGTCCACATTGCTGGTAGTAAGTCGGACTTGTTTCCTGTGAGAGTTGGACTCCACCAAGGTTGCCCTTTGTCACTGATTCTGTTCATTACTTTCATGGACAGAATTTCTAGGAGCAGCCGAGGTGTTGAGGGGATCCTTTTTGGTGACTTTAGGATCAAATCTCTGCTTTTTGTGGATGATGTGGTCCTATTGGCCTCATCAGATCCTGATCTCCAGCTCTCACTGGAGCGGTTCACAGCTGAGTGTGAAGCGACCGGGATGAGGATCAGTGCCTCCAAATCCAAGACCATAGTCTTGAGGCAGAAAAGGGTAGGGTGCCTTCTCCAGGTCGGGGAGGAGGTCCTGCCCCAAGTGGAGGAGTTTAAGTATCTCAGGGTCTTGTTCATGAATGAGGGAAGAATGGAGCAGGAGATCGACAGGTGGATTGGTGCTGAGTCTGCAGTGATGTGGGAGTTGTACCGGTCTGTCGTGGTGAAGAGAGAGCTGAGCCAGAAGGTGAAGCTCTCAGTTTACCAGTCGGTCTACGTTCCTACCCTCATATATGGTCAGGAGCTTTGGGTAGTGACTGAAAGAAGGAGATCACAGATACAAGCAGCTGAAATGAGTTTCCTCTGCAGGGTGTCTGGGCTCTCCCTTAGAGATAGGGTGAGAAGCTCAGTCATCCAGGAGGGACTCAGAGTAGAGCTGCTGCTCCTCCACGTCCAGAGGAGCCAGTTGAGGTGGTTCATCTTGTTAGGATGCCTCCTGAACTCCTCCCTGCTAAGGTGTTCTGGACACGTCCCACTGGTTGAAGGCCCAGAGGAAGACCCAGGACACACTGGAGGGACTATGTTTCTCAGCTGGCCTGGGAACGCCTTGGGATTCCCCCAGAGGAGCTGGTCCAAGTGGCTGGAGAGAGGGAAGTCTGGGTCTCTCTGCTCAGGCTACTGCCCCCGAGACCTGACCCAGGATAAGAGGAAGAAGATGGATGGATGGTGGCTTTAAATCAATAAAATACTGTATCTTACAGTACATAGCCATGACTAAATCAATCATTTAATCTTGTGTACTTTAGGTCTGATTTAAAAAAATACAATTATTACATGTATTCTTAATTATTTTCTGAGACTGTGAGATGTTTCTTATTGATGTTTCAGTGTCTGAGCTGAGGATCATTCTGCTGGGAAACAACTGGTCTGACAAATGTTCAGTTGCAAACTTGATTCTGGGAAATTCTGCCTTCAACCCTCAGCAGGAACCCAGCTCCTCTAAGACAGCCAACAGATTTATCGGAATGACAAAWGTAGTTTGCATCAACACACCGTCAGATCTGCTCCATGCTSAKGTTCCTCCAAACAAGCTCCAAAAACATGTGGAGTACTTTGTGAGTCTGTCAGATCCTGGACCTGAGGTGTTCCTGGTGGTTGTGCAGCCTGATGTCTTCACTGAGGACAACAAGCAGAAACTCTGCTCAGTCCTCGAACTGTTCAGAGCCCGCTCCTTTGACCGGACACTGGTTCTGACTCTAACACCCAAACAGAATACAACAAGTTTCTGCAAACCTTTACAAGACCTGATCAAAAGGTGCAGACATCAGATTTTCAGTTTGAAGACCCAAGATCCTTCTGAGCTGCGGAAGAGTTTGAAGGAAATCGTAGAGACGAACACGGACAGACCTGTGACCTCTGACCACCCACACAGCCGAGTCAGAAAAGAACTTCTTGACCCTCCAGGATCTGCCCCAAATGTTGGTGAGTTCAGAACATTTTTACTTTGATAACTGTGAAAAACATTCAAACTGATTTAAAATGAAAGAAATTACATTTTGGAAATGAAGAAGCAAAAAATTAGTTATTAAAGCTACACTACCAAAAATCTGAAAGGAGGAATACGTGTTATGACTGACGAACAAGCAACAATTCTGGTTGAGATCTCTTTTGCTTGCAGCAAGGAATTCATATACAGACAAAGTATAATACATATGATGTCCGCAGTATCACCTAACTATCTGTACAGTTCTCCCCAGGCATTATCTCCAGTTGCTTTGTCCAGATCCACCTGTCTAATTGCAGGTTATAAAAGTAACTGAACTCTATAATCTAACAGTTTAGGAAGTCAAAGATCAACTGCTGTGTCTTCATTCTAAGAGCAATAGTGAAAACAAGCAATTAAAGGCTGCAGCATGCTGCATCCAAACTGCTGAAATTGTGCCAAACTGTCACAGTTTCATGACAAAAATGTGTCATTCTATTTGCATTGTCTACATTTTGGCACCTTCTTGTTGCAACCCACGGGTCAAACTTTTTATCCACCTCCACATAAAAACACATGAGGACTTTATTGTGTGATTGATTCATGGGAGTGTGTTTGTGCTGAAAGTGATCAGACACTGCATTTTGCTTCAATCCCTCACTACAAAAAACAAACTACCAAACAAACATAAAACAAACATAAAACCGATTCATCTCTAGAAGCCGATTGTTGTACCAGGAAGCAGATATTTATAAAGATAGTCAAACTGCCAAAACATCATGAAAGGAAATAAAACATACATTTTGCATGATGGAATCTAACTGATAACAACTTTGGAGCTTAATCCGGGACCAGTTTGTGGACAAATAATGTCGGATGAATGGTCTCGGTCTTTTCCCCCCGCATTTTAGACTCCAGTGGGAAAAAATCCAATGCAGTGATATTTGCTGCAGCGGGAGGGGTTTCCCAGGAGCTCGGCGTGGCGTGTCTCAGGCGCTATGAAAGGTGTGCAAAAAAGAATGCCAAACAACCACATGACGGTGCTTCTTAACTGTCCGTCCGTCCGTTTTCTGCCGCTTATCTGGAATCGGATCGCGGGGGCAGCAACCTAAGCAGAGAGACCCAGACTTCCCTCTCCCCAGCCACTTGGACCAGCTCCTCTGGGGGAATCCCAAGGTGTTCCCAGACCAGCTGAGAAACATAGTCCCTCCAGCGTGTCCTGGGTTCTTCCTCTGGGCCTCTTCCCAGTGGGACATGCTGGAACACCTCACCAGAGAGACGTCCAGGAGGAATCCTAACCAGATGCCCAAGCCACCTCAACTGTCTCCTCTGGACGTGGAGGAGCAGCAGCTCTACACACAGTGTGGGCGGTGAGCTGATTTTTGTCATCGTTTGTCATTTTATGCCTTGGTTTTCCTAGTGTTTCTATGTTCCCCTGTGTGTCTCTGCTCAGCTGCCCCACATCACGCTGCTGATTACCCTTGTGTTTCTCCCCAGGTGTTTTCTGTTCCCTCATTAGTTTTCTGTATATTTAAGCTCAGTCTTGTCTCTGTCTCATTGTCAGATCATTGTTCTGTCTACCTGGTTGTGTCCTGTTCCATGTTATTCAAGTCATAGTGAGTTTCTGCTGTATTTTCAGCCTCCTTGAGTTTTTTTTTATTAAAGGCCTCATGCTTTTTTGATTTTTGAAACCTGCGTGTGCCCTGGGTTATTTTGTTGGTCCTGACATAATGATCCGACCACGCACCCAGCCCACAGGCACCCTGTTTTCAGTTTTTTTTAAAGAGGAGCAAGATTTTTTTTCTCGCAGCCCCTCAGCGCGCCGGTCTTTCTCCTCTCGATGTTGGAGTCCACCAGAGTCACCTGGGCCTGCCTTGGCTGGTCTTCCTCCTTCTGCCCTTGAGAAGCCGGTCCCATCCTTGCCCCCCTGGGAGGAACAGGTGACATCCCCCATAATTGGAGGGTCGGTGAAGATCCTCAGGGGGATCTCAATGCGCTCCAACAGACTCTCCATCTGCTGGCAGATAGAATGCATTCTGGGGGAGCGCCCAGATCTGCTCCTCCTGCCAGGCCAGCAGCAGCTCCACCGGTTTGTGCAGAGGGCTTTGGGAGAGTTATCTGGTACCCACCTTCCCACCCCTTCTGCTCCTCCTGTGCCGGTTGTTCGGGTTCCTGTTCCGGTGCTTCCTGAGCTGGTGTTTCTGTTTCCAGTGTCGGTGGTTCCAGTTCCGGTGGTTCCTGAGCTGGTGTTTTCTGAGCCAGTTGTTCCTGTTCCGGTGGTTCCAGTTCCAGTGGTTCCTGAGTTGGAGGTCCCGGTGGTTCCACAATTGGAGGTCCTGGTGGTTCCACAGTCTGTGGTTCCACACTTGGTGGCCCCAGTGGTTCCACAGTCGGTGGTTCCACACTTGGTGGTCCCGGTGGTTCCACAGTCAGTGGTTCCACAGTTGGAGGTCTTGATGGATCCACAGTCATTGGTTCCACAGTTGGTTGTCCCGATGTCTCAGGTGTTGGCGAGCCCCGAGTCGGCAGTCTCTGAGGTTCGTGAGTCAGCTGCCGGTGCCTCCACAACATCTGGGTTGCCTGCCGTTGCTTCCACGTCACCCATTGCCTCCTCATCGCCTGGCTTGTCGCCCATCGCCTCCTCATCACCTGGCTCGTCGCACATTACCTCCTCATTGCCTGGGTCGGTTGCCATCGCCTCCATGTCGCCTGGGTCGGCTGCCGTCGCCTCCATGTCGCCTGGGTCGGCTGCCGTCGCCTCCATGTCGCCTGGGTCGGCTGCCGTCGCCTCCATGTCGCCTGGGTCGGCTGTCATCGCCTCTTCGTCCCCTCTGTTGCCTGTGTTCGCCATCGCCAAGGCTCTGGCTCCATCAACCTCCGACGGCTCCTCATCGCCTCCTGCCTCCTCCCTCTGCTCCACGTCTGCTCCCACCTCCTTCCTCTGCTCCACGTCTGCTCCCGCCTCCTCCCTTGGCTCCACGTCTGCTCACATCTCCTCCCTTGGCCCCTCGTCTGCTCACGTCTCATCCTGGGGCTCAACGTCTGCTCCTGCGGGACCTCGCCATGGAGGGTTTCCTGGCCGTCCCCCTGGACTCTTGCCTTATGTGGGGTGGTTCCCTGGCTGTTCCCCCTGAACTTATGTTTTGTCTTCAAATTCTGTCTTGTCCTGTCTCCCCTTGTCCTGTGCCTCTCCTTGTTGATTGTCTGGTGATGATCGTTAAGAGGAAGGTACTGTCATGGTTTATCATTTTATGCCTTGGTTTTCCTAGTGTTTCTATGTTCCCCTGTGTGTCTCTGCTCATCTGCCCCACATCACGCTGCTGATTACCCTTGTGTTTCTCCCCAGGTGTTTTCTGTTCCCTCATTAGTTTTCTGTGTATTTAAGCTCAGTCTTGTCTCTGTCTCATTGTCGGATCATTGTTCTCTCTACCTGGTTGTGTCCTGTTCCATGTTCTTCAAGTCATAGTGAGTTTCTGCTGTATTTTCAGCCTCCTTGAGTTTTTTTTTATTAAAGGCCTCGTGCTTTTTTGATTTTTGACATCTGCCTGTGCCCTGGGTTATTTTGTTGGTCCTGACAATTTTCCCCCACTGAGACGCTGGATGGTGGGGCAGAATCGCCTCAAAGTCATACGAAAATCTTATTCCATGGCCTCTACGAACTCCTCCCACACCAAGTTTTTGCCTCAGCCACCACCAGAGTCGCAATCTGCTCGGACTGCTGATACCTACCAGCTGCTTCTAGAGTCCCACAGGCCAAAATGACCCAGTAGGACTCCTTCTTCAGCCTGAAAGCATCCCTTACCACCAGTGTCCACCAGCAGGTTTGAGGGTTGCCACCATGGCCGACACTAGCAACCTTACGGCCACAGCTCAGGTAACCCGCCTCAACAATGGAGGCATGGAACATGGCCCACTCTTACTCAATGTCCCCCCCTCCCCCGGAACGTATTCAAAGTCCCCCCACCCGTAGACGGAGAGAGGCTGTCTTAACTGGTCATATAAAAACAAACATAGATCAACAGCATTAATATATCTGGTAATTAAATGAACCATGATATTTGAAATCACAATTTAACAGTGGTGGGCAGCGCTAATCCACAATTTAGCTCCGCAATTTCAAAAGCACTTATGAAAATATTTAGCTGCGCAACTTCAAAAGCGTTTATGCCATAGAAAAACTAGCGGAAGCTAATTTTAAAGCGCAAGTTCAATTTGACACTTACTAGCTGGCAACAATTCATGTACAATATATGCACAATACTGCCAACTAGTGGTGTATGAACTCTTTTACAGCTTAATTCTACAATCGCCGATTGCTGTGGGTGTGATTTCCTGAAACAGAACTTTAGCTCCTGGTGTAAAAATTAAAAATTTGTTGAGGATTGCTAGTTCAGCTGCTTTTTTGTCTTTTTCTTTGTTTTAGGTTTTCCATTAAAGAAGAATCAGTAAAGTAATTTTAAAACTGTTTATTGGAAAACTGAAGCAATGTATTCTGGGTACATGACGGATTTGATTTGTGATGGGAAACGAAAGCACGGTCGTACAGGAAACTATCTTCCCCTCAAAACAAGAGTTTTGATTTTAAAGTTTTCCATGTAGTTGCTCCAGTTGACCACTAGATGTCAGTCTTCATCAGCATAACATCTTTTATTGTCACTTCAGTAGAAAATGAAACCAAACATTATTAGTTTATTTAGTTTATTTATTTCTTCATCATCAGTGACTTTTTTAAGTGAGAAGATAAGAAAGAACATAAGAAAAGTGAAAAGAGCTGAAACTACAAATGTATGAAATATACTTGTGGCGACACTAGATGGAAACTCAGGTTTTGTGAAAGTTTAATTTTAGTAAGTTGCTCAACAACGCCACCCTGGGAATTTCACCCAGAGATTACTACCTCTTGTTCAAGGCACACAGGTTCAATTATGCGAGGATTAAAACATCTGAGACAGTTTCCAACTTATAAAAAAAACATTTATTGAATTATTCTAAAAATTCTTAAAACCAATTTCTTTTTAAAAATGAAACTAAAA